TCATTGGATTTGTGTTTCATCCTACCCTATCATGACTCATCTCAACTAACTACATCTGTAAAGACCCTATTTCCAAATCAAGTCACGTTCTAAGGTTCCAGGTCGACATGACTTTGAGTGAGAAACTGCTTAAATCACTAAGCCTGGTCCTGGTCACTCTCATTTTTATGTCTGCATAGTCTCTGACTGCGATCTGCTTAGGCTTTCGTATAGCATGGAAGCCTTGGGGTGGTCTAACTTCTTATATAATAATGGCTGGCTCTCCTCTGCATGAACATTCTAAGAAGAGGAAGAGAAACTGCCATTCGTCTTAAATGCTAGGCCTGGAAGTGGTACAGTATTGCTGTAGTTGTCATATATCAGTCAGTTACCCCAGGCTGAAAAAAAAGAAATACATTCCACATTTTAATGAGGAGCAGAATAGTACCTAGGAGGAAAAACTGATGACCACCATCTTGGAAACCAACTACCACACAGATTAACTCCTACTGACAGCAAAAGGGGCCCATGAGATACAAATTAATTTTTGAAAAAGGTTATAAGATAATGTATGTCTAATTCTATCCCATTTTTATTCTTAAGAATATATATGTATATTTATACTAAATATGTATCAAAAGACAAAAAATAAACCACAAAAGATAAAGAATATTAATAGTGACTGTCTCTGCATGTTGAGAATTTAGATGACAGTAATGTTTTTCTTTTTGTTTACCAATATTCATAGGTAGATTACTCATAGGTTACTTCTGTAACAAAACAGAAAAAGCATAAAGTAAATGGTCTATTATTTTAATATGGACAGGTTAATATTTATTGGTGCTTCATTTAGGACACCATAAATGGCAAGGTAAATTTCAATAAAGGCACTCTAGGTATGTATCTACCTAGTGGAAACCTAGAAAAGTTCACTTTAAAAAGTCCTTAATTATAAAAAAGGCAACTCAAACACTCATCTTCCTCAAAATACTTGGTGCACTCCACACACAAGTCTCCTGCGCGACTTCCGGGAGAACATGGCGGACAGATAACAGCAACTACCGGAGGCTCTCTGAAAAACTAGGCTCAGAAGCCAGGTATGGTGCGGACTAAAGAGACATAAGCAGGTGGAGTTATGCTCTGCTGACTCAGGAACGAACTTGGCTGAGAGAAACCAACTTGGAATGCAGTCCTGGTGCTAAAACAGGAACAGAAAAGTCTCGCTGCTGAGGCTGGACCCTGCGCCACTGGAAGCCGCGACTTGGGTTTCCCGCTGCGCGGTGGCTGGCTGCCTCTACATCGGCTCGGCAAGGAGAGAGACGCGCGGAAACTCTGAGAACGGGAGTCTGCGAACGGAGTCGAAAACAGGACAGGCAGGGAGGCATGTTCTGACTTGTGGCGAGGTGAGTGAGAGAAACTGACACTCCACCACAGTTTGACTCCAGCGGACTTTCTGGGCCCGAGCAGTCCTGCGGGAGCAGGGCGCGGTGGTGACTCCAGCCACACATCCCCCTCTCGGGCGGGATTGGTGAAAAGTGCCTGGCCTGTGTGACGCTGCTGGCGGACCCCGTAGGCTGGCCCAACCCAGATCCCAGAGCCTGACGGAGGCCGGGAGGGGCGGGCCCCCGCATAGGCTGCCTGGTGCGCAGCGGTGAGTGGGAACACCTAACCGGCGCAATTCAATCAGGCTGTGGCTGACAGGGAGAGAAGCTGGGCCTCTCATATAAGCTTGCATATATAAGGAACAGAGAATATGGGAAGAGGCAGCAACAAGAAATGCTCCTCGGCCCCCAATTCTGAGAAACAGGCAATAGCGGACACCGCACCAATACACATAAAGCACCATATAGAGAGCCTCATAGACCAATTCAGGAATGAAGTTATCAACGACCTGAAGCTAGAAGTATGCAAAATAGTTAGAGAAATGCTAAGCCCCACCCCAAAAAAAAAACAGATGGTGGAATGGAAGAAGAGAAAAAGAGGGGAGAATTGTTTGATGGAGAAAACAGGGAAAGCATAGAATATGTGAAGCAGGTTCAAAGGGACTACCAAGAAACTAAGAAGTCTATCGAAGACTGGCATAACAGCTTGAAAGAAACTAAGGACAGACTATCTGAACTAGAGGGCAGAATTGTAATATGGGAGAATGAAATGAAAAACTTCTTAAAAATAACAAAGAAACAAACAGCAATAATACAAAGACAAGAAGATGATAAGAGGATCCATAACTTAAGGATTAAGAACATAAAAGAAGAAGTAGGGACACAAACAAATGAACTACAAAAGCTACTCACAGAAATAATCCAGGAGAATTTTCCTAATTTAGCAAAAGGTAAAGATACTCAGATGTATGAGGCATACAGGACCCCAGCTACCTACAACCCAAACAGAGCAACACCAAGGCATATAATAATAAAAATTCCAGAAATTCAATACAAGAACAGAATATTAAAAGCTGTCAGAGACAAGAAACAGACCACTTACAAGGGAGCACCCATCAGAATTACAGCAGATTTCTCTGCACAAACCATCAAATCACGAAGAGCGTGGGGGGAAATAATTCAAGCTTTGAAAGATAATAATCTCCAGCCAAGATTGAGATATCCTGCACAACTGTCCCTGGAAATTGATGGAAAAACAAGGTGCTTCCAGGATAAAGAGGAACTGGGGGAATTTGCAACCACCAATTCAACTCTACAGAGAGTATTGCAGGATATTCTAAAAAAAGAAAAATACAAAGAATCCAGAAATAATGGAGGCCACAACGAATGGAGCAGAGAACAAAGTGAAGAAGACAAACTGACAGCTACTGACAGAATAAGAGCTCAACAGAAATGAGGCAGAGAAGATTGGATGATAGGAACAGCTATTTTGGAGAAAATGACATCTTAATAAGTAATACTGATTAGTATCATCTTGTTTTGAAGTCTCATCTAGCTTTTGTCCTTCTGTCTCCAATGGTCTAAATAGGTTGTACCTTACTGGATTTTATTATGTACGATAGTATAAGCAAAAACCTTTTAAAGACAAGGAGATTATACAGAAACCATTATTCATTTTCTGTTAGTCGATTCTAAATACTCTGTAATGCTGTCATTCTCTTAAATGGTTTTACATTGTTTTGATATACTTAATGCTACAGTATACGAAGTTGTACTCAAGGATTTCAAGGAAAGAGACAATATGGTAACTACTTTTAGGTCAGGATTATCTGGTGATGAAACACTATTCTGCTTAAATGGTTATGTTTTGATCTGTGCTGTTTCGTTGTTATGCCCTCTTTTATCTCAATTTCCACTCCATTATTTACTTTTTTAATACTTTTTTAAAAAATTTTTATCCTTTTAATTAAAGGGAAAAAATAGCAGGATATATTATAGTAACCCACTTTGACTTTCCATTACCTCGATTTAAAGCCCTGTATTACTCTCACCATCTGGTTTTTAACTGATGTTCCCCTATTCTGTTTTGCTGGATAGTATCAGGTTCGAAAATTTAGGCATCAGCTGTGAAGATAATGAGATTCATTATAACGCCCATTCTCGTTGACTTTTATCTACTTTTGAAGACCTACAATGTCTCCAATGTTTTGGTTTTGTCGGTTTTGTTCTTTACTGTTTTGTTCAATTGTATTATAACTAATGGTATAGGCAATTCTATTAGAGATAGCGGGAGGCATTATGGTAACCATTGTTGATCACCTTGTGTTATGTTTTCACATTATCTATTATGTCCACCCTTTTGACTTGACCGATTCTGTTCTGTTATGTCACATTTGGTTTTACTCTCTTCCAAAAAAGTAGTAAGAACCGTGAGAGCAATGAAACCCAAAATGTGTAATAGTCATTGTACAAAAGAGAGGAAAAGAAAGTGCTCTAAACTATATAACTGCATGTATGTTTAAATGTATAAGATAGAATATGATATCACAGAGTTTTATTGGATCATTGAACAGAACTGTTTGCAGTATCATTGATGGAATGTTCACTTTACAAGCTTTAATTTTGTGACTTGAACCATTATTTCTAAGATGACAATATGTAATCCATTAACTAGTGATTTCCTACTGTTCATTTTTTTTCTGCAAATCTGTATAACTTGTACCCTTTCTCTGCTTTTTTTTTTCTCCTTAAATAAAATTTTTTTTTAAAAAAGGGAAAAAAAAAAAAAAAAAACAAGTCTCCTGAACTCTGTAACAGTGGTGGCGAACCTATGGCACAGACTCTGCAGCAGGCTCTTTGTCTCATTAAAAGTTCTGAAAGACCAACACTGGCCTAGCAGCTTCAGAGTAGCCAAGCTGCGTCTAGAAAGGAAAAACCCTAAAGTCATATTATTCACACCGAAGTCCCTTGCTAAACTGTTTCAGTAACCTGAACCAAGTTCTTGGGATTCTAAATTGTTAGACATCATTTTATAAAGAACAAAAAGATCACAGTGTTCCTTGCTTTGAGCAGAGCTGGACGACTGCCTGTGGGATGCAGGTTTAAGGGATTTCAGACCATCCTGCCAAAAAATACCAAGTGCCCAGAATTTCCACTTGTGTCAGTAGGCTAGAGGTTATACAACTCCATATATTTCTGTTTAAAAAGAAAAACCTCAAAATACATATACACACGGAAGAAAGTAAAAATCTATGTGCAGAATCAACTGGACGGTCTCCAAAAGTCGGAATGTGAGAGAACAGGAAATAAGAGAAATTGGTAACTGATTCTTATGACAGGGTTGCACAGGCCAGAGACACCTGGCAAGAGAATCCTAGGAGCTGGAGGACTGGCAGCATCAAGTTTACCCTACAGGTAGTCAGGAGACACTGTCCCTGTCCCCCTTAAACAAAGACAAACTCTTAAAGAAACTGAAACGTTCTCCATACAATCCTACCTAATGGGACCAGTTATTTCCCCTGAAGAAGCATCAGACTCACCAAGAAAAGAGGAATTTTGAATTGGGAATTTAACTTTAATTCAAATATGTTACGACTCTGAGATTAAAAACAAAGACAAATGGCCGCTCCGTCTACTCACCGGCAGTTTGTTCGGATGCAGCCGTCAAAGATAAAAATTTTTTTGTATTTTCCATCTCCTCATTACTTTGCAAAGCTTCACTAATTTTTGCAGACTAGTGAAAGAAAAATTAAAGTTTAAACAGGGAAAACGAAGGCAAATATATATATTCTTTGATTTTTTATTACAACCTAGTTCCCAATTGTATACATACAAATGAGAAGCATCAGACTATTTATAGTCCTTCAAGTAGAAACTTTTTACTGTTTTCTGCTTCTTTAAAGTTCTGTCAACAGCTATTCACAGATAGAGTTGAAGTGTGTGTCCATGACTAGGTTAGTTACGTTACTTAAATTAACTGTTAGATATTTTTATAACTAGTAATCTAAAGGTACACCATCAACTGAAATTTCAGACATTTCACACTTAGTAACGTATTTAATTATGCTTCCATTTATAACTCTTGTTTTAAAGGAAGTAAAAACTCATTTTGAATTTCAAGAGGAAAAAATGATAGGCTTTTTTTTCCGCTAAAATTGCAGCCATCCTTTCTCTAGTTTAAAGCACTAGATTTTGGATGTTGCTCTCTTTTCACCCCAGTGATATTCCTCGGAACCTCCTCTAAAGTCAGTTAATGATTAAGGATAAATCTATCCAAAAAAAAGTATGTTATTGCAAGGTTCCTTGCTTGCTTTACAGGTGCTCTGATTTTTCCTTTTTGAGACAGGGTCTCACTTTATAGTTCAGGTTGGTCTTGAAATTACTATGTACCTCAGGCTAGTCTTGAACTCACAGCAATCCTCCCGCCTCAGCCTCCTGAGTGCTGGGATTATAGACATGTGCGCACTGTGCCCAGCAGGTGCTCTGATTCGAGAGGCACCCAGTCAAGGTCACATCCGGTCAATCCCACCTGCTCACTACTACAGAGAATAAGAGACCCACGAAAGTCAAGGAAAATTAATCAAGTACCAGGAATTTGTTGAGACACAGTCAATGGAACATGGCCCAAACCTCAAGCACCTCTCATCTTCCTAAGAAATTTCTAACCGTCATGTGGAACAATGATCTCCCCAACCTGTTGAACACAAAGGTCACGCAAATAATAATGCTAACCAGGGAGATGAATTCTTAAGCGCTTTTCTATTTATCCCAACTGTAAGTTCACTGAAGAGAAAGCAGAGGCTTCATGAAAGTAATCATGACACTCTTTCCTATTCTTCCAGAGATGGAGAAGCCTCCGCCCAGCACTATAGGAGGTCTACCTGCCCTGTCCGTGCGTGAATGAACACTCCAGGCAGTGCCCAAATCTGGTCAGCCATAGACTAAGTTATGCTCCCTAATTCCTGAAAAATATCACATCTTATGGACCGATATGGACACAGGCATACACACACACACACACACACACACACACACACACACACACACACAGATGAATGTCATTAGCTCTAAGGAATAAATCAACAGAGACAAACCACTACCACAGTGCATGCTTTTCTTACTCATCTTAGAGAAACCGTTGCTCGTTAGCATGTTGGACAGTTCTCACCTTAAGTTCTTCCCAGAGCTTTATTCGCCTTTCTAGACCTTGCTTCTTAATTTCTTTTTCTCTGTACTGTTTCTTTGCCAATATTTTATCAAGTCTGTTCATCTTATGAATAGCATCTTGAAGTTGAGAATCTGATTCTTTTGATTTGGGTTCATCTGTATTGTGTTGAAAACAAGAATGGGTTTAGAGTTTTGTAAAACAAACTTTTGTTTTTCCTCTTTGTTCTTTCATTCAACATAAACTTATGGCCAATGGTAATACCTGTTACACTGGCGTCACGGAACTAACTGGAGTCACAAGATGGCTTCATATATGTTTTTTCACACAATTATCTGAAAAGTCTGTGAATAGATATTTACCTCCATTTTATAGTTGAGGTAACTGGGCCCTTTCACTAAAATTTATAGATTACACCCTGGCCTCAGACATGGTTTTCTCATGATTTTTAAATCTCAACTTCTCTTTCGCATTGCTTTTCCTTCTATATCCATGATTAGTAGGAAGGAAGTAAAAGGACACAGATCCTCTCTGTAACTGTTTCGGGCTAACTGAAAGAGAACGTGCGGACACAGAGAGCTACAATAAAAAGCGATGGGCATAAGGGACACAAAGTGGTTCTAAACCCCAGAAGAAACAAAAATAAGTACTTTAGGGAGGCAGACATGCTTTTTTGTATGTTCTTCCCACTTTCCTAGTTCTTAAAGCAATTAAAACTATTCTTAATTTGTAGATAATTGCAACTTCTAGGACATTAGTACTTCTGCCACTCAAGTTTTAACTTACAATATTTTGTATTTTAAAGAGAAAAACGATAAAATTGATAGAGAATTTCAAAACAAGACAATAGGACATTAACAATGGTTAATATATTATGTATTGTTATCTTCAAAGTAGTTGCTCAGATTACAAAATTAAAAATTCATCAGACAATACAAGCACAAACCATTCTTTTCAATAAACTAATAGAAACTAGTAGTATAATTATCTTGGTTACTATATATACACACACACACACACACACATTTATGTATATATATTCTTTTGTGTTTCTTCTTTTCTCCTTTCCCCCATCCCAGTTATTTTTTTCCTTTAGAGGATTTTCTTTCCACTTCACAATATCTATTGGGCATTTTGGATCTTATTTACATTTTTTGTTTCTCACACTAGGGAGACAATATGGTATTTACACAGGTGAGTCTGATATATTTCATTTATAAGTATGGTCTCAAGTTGCATCCATTTACCTATAAAAGCCTCAAGATTATCTTTATGTATAGCTTGCTAATACTCCATTGTATAAAAATACAACTTTTTATCCATTCTTTGGTTGATGGACATTTCGGTTGTTTCCAAGATTTAGCTATCACAAATTGTGCTGCTATAAACCTGGATACACATATATTGCTGTGATATAATGTTTTTAATTCTTCTGGGAAAATACCCAGAAGGGTAATAGCCGAATCAAATTGGACCTGTAATCCTAGTTTTTTGGAGGAATCTGCACACTGATTTCCACAGTGGTTGCTCCAGTCTACACTCCCACCAACAGTGAAGAAGGGCTCCTTTTTCTCCACAGTTCCACCAGTATGTGCTATTGATTGATTTCTTGATGATAGGTCATGCTTTCCGGAGTAAAATGGATCTTATTACTTTTTCAGATTTTTATTTTTTATTATTTCTATATTAGAGAGACAATGCAATATTTATAAATGTGAGTTAGATTTATTTCACTTATGAGTATGGTCTCAAGTTGCCTTCATTTATCTATAAAAGCCTCAACATTATCTTTTTTATAACTGAGTAATATTCCACTGTATAAAAATACCACATCTTTTTTATCCATTCTGTGATTGATAGGGATTTTTGTTGCTTCCAAGACTTTGCTGTTACAAATTGTGCTGCTATTAACATAAGTGCACATATATCACGGTGACATGACATTTTCAATTTTCCTGGGAAAATACTCAGAATGAGAAGAGCTGGATTGAATCCTACTTTTCTGAAGAATTTCCATACTGATTTTTACAGTGGTTGCATCAGTCTACACTCCCACCAGCAGTGGAGAAATGTTCCTTTTCCCCCACGGCCCCACCAACATTTGGTGTCAGCTGACTTATTGATGGCAGCGAATCTTTCTGGAGTGAGATGGAATCTCTATGTTTTTTTTTTTATTTAAAGAAAAGGAAACAAAAAAAATACATGGAGATTAAAAAAAGGGTAGAAATAATACAAAATTACAGACAAACAAACGGTAAGAAATTGCTGGTTGATAAGTTACACGTTGTCATCTTAGAAATAGCTGTTCAGGTTATAGAATTAAAGTATTTAGAATGACATTCAAAAAGTGACCCTACAAACCGTTCTGCTCTATGATCGAACAAAAGCTCAGTAATATGATTATCAGTCCTACACATTTGTTTTACATCTCAAAGAGGGTAAGATTAAACATATCAAAACAGAACAGAACATTTAAAAAAAAACAATTTAAAGAAATACAGATTTCAAAGCAAGTCCACTGGAGATCTTCATTATCTAACTGTCTCTAGTTTCTTACAAATAGTTGTCCCTATCTTCACCCACTTTATATACTTATTGCATATTATAGAACTAATCAAATCATTACAGGATGATGAAGTCTTTTTAGGTCCTCAAGTTCCAAATTAGGGAAGACTATAGTAACTACCATCGCATCTCTCATTCTCTTTGTGATAGCTGTCCCCATCTCTACATATGCTGAAGTTGAACTCAAGAAACCAGTCCAATGTCATTCTAATCAGCGAACAATAGATTGCTAGAATTTATATTATAATGCTACAAAATAAGCCTCGGGTTTCTCAGCGTCTCTTCCTCAGAGTATCTGTTCCTTACATCTTGCATTATATAATCTGTTCCCATAAATAATTTAAAAAAAAAACCCATGTGTGAATTTCTACATATATATCTATCCTCTCTGTATTATAGGGAAAACCAAGTCATAGCAAGACAGCAAAACAATTTCCTAGAAAAACATGCAATGGATAAGACATATAAGACTACAATATAAATGATCTTCCGTAGCTACTATATTTTCTCTTGTTATTTTCAATAGATTTGTCCACAACACTGGCTTATTATAGTTAAACATAGTATCACCTATTTTTATAAAAACTTAACTTTGACAGCATTGTAGGATTTGAAAGCTGTTACTAATTAATACCAGTATGGATATCCTTTACAACTTGTCACGCTCAGAGTAGTTGCCTCTACTTTTAGGGTTGATGCTAACAAGCATACCAATTTCAAATAAAATCAGCCAAGGCCAACCAATAGTCTTATGATTCAGATTCAATTAAGATCAGTCATAGTAAGACAATGTAAGTAATACAGGATTTCAGTTTAAGTTAATAGGAAAGTAAGGATAGTTACCATGGTATAACCTGCTATTTTTGGTTCAAGAGGTCTGTGCCCTCAAATCTGACATGAGTGGATAGACCAGAACAAATTAAATTAAAACTAAATATGGCACTAGGACTACTGTGTCTTTTAAATCGTTATACACCATTAACAATGACCTCTGCTTTTTTTTAAATATAGTTTCAGAGCTGTCTCTACCAAAGACTAGCTTACCGTCTCTGCCTCATGTCTGCTACTCCACTTTTCTGCTATAATTTGTCCACCTTTTCCCTCATTCCATTGTCTGCCCCGTTCACTGAGGCCTCTCTGCCACTGTTGCTGGAATCCTGGTATCTCTTCCTCTCTTTCTCTGTAATGTCCTTCAGCGCTCTCTGTAGGGTTGGATTGGTGGCCACGAACTCCCACAGTTCCTCCTTGTCTTGAAAGTATCTTATTTCTTCATTAATTTTTAGAGAGAGTTTTGATGGGTATATGAACTTTGGTTGCATATTTTTTCCTTTCAGGACTTGGAATATTTCTCCCCACTCCCTTCTTGACTTAAGAGTTTGTGTTGATAAGTCTGCTGTTATTTTGATAGTTTTCCCATTGGAGGTAATCTGCATCTTTTCTCTGGCTGCTTTTAATATTCTGTTCTTTTGGTGGATTTCTGGGATCTTGATTATTATATGTCTAGGCGTAGATCTGTTTTGGTTGTAGGTAGCTGGTGTTCTGTATGCCTCTTTTATCTGGATATCATTTCTTTTTGCTATACATGGGAAATTTTGCTTTAATATATCTGTGAATATTTTTTGTATTTCATTTTTGGCTGCTCCTGCTTCCTCACTCACATTCTTTATTCTTAGGTTATGTATCTTTTTGTCATCCTCCAGTTTTTGAATTGCTTCTTTCTGGTTCCTTGTTATTTTTAAGAGGCTTTTTCTTTCACGATCATATGCCATAAATCTCTCTTCAAGTTTCAGAAGGCTGTCTTTAGTTTCTGTCAAGGCATTTTGCCAGTGTTCAATGGAATTTTTAGTTTCCTGGTATTCTCTTTGGATCTGTTTCATGTATTCTAAGTTATGTTTAAATTCTTCTTCAGAAGTTTCTCTTTCTTTTCTGATTTCCTCAGTTCTTCCATCTGTGTTCTCTTGGATGGGGCTTGTCATTTCTTTAATTAATCTCTTTATATCTTGCCTCACTGGGATCAGGAGTACAGCTTTAAATTCCTCTATGAGATCATGTAGGTACTTTTTAATTTCAGCTGATGCTGTGTCGAGCAATGGATGGTTACTGTGCTTGTTCTCTTCAGTGTTTACTTCTCCTGGGCTTATTTTCTCATGTTGGGCAGCTGGAGATTTTTTTTATTTTTATCTCTTGTCATGTTTCTGGTTTCTTTCAGACTGTCCTGGGGTTCTCTGGCCCTCTCCGAATTGCTTAGGGCCTTTCAGAAGCGTGCTGACTTGAGTTTTTGCTGTCCTCCCCAATTTACTGTTATCTGGGGTAGGCTGGGATGCAGGGGCGGTACAGGCTAGTCTCCAGCCTCTGTGCCAGTTAATCCATAAATTAGACTGTACTTTCTGGATGTCACTGAGTTGTGACTATTTTGTATCCGCTTATTGGGCCCCAAGCAGAGGCTTGGTTTAGCCCCAGTAGCTCCTGCCAGTTCTCTTTGTATCAGAAGCAGCTGGTGTCACTATGGCACAGGGTTCTGCCCAAATCCCAGCTGTTCTCTTCCAGACCTCTCTGTGACAGGAGCACCAGAACAGCAGATCTGCCCAAATCC